TGGGCAGGTGTGTGGCACAGGCCTGATGGCAGCTTGGCCAAGTGTTGTGTTTGCATTACAGTGTTCCCTGCGTTTGTGGTGCACCTGCAGAATCCCACGTGAAACACAAAGGTAAGACCAGGGTGAGGAGCTGGGACTCCTCAGGACAGCACCGACATCTTCCCTTCAAGTGATTTCAGCTGTAAAACAGAGCTTGTGATTCTTACCTGTGTCACCAGAATTTGGGAGTCTGATTAGCCACATCCTGTAAAAGACTGAAGCAGCCTTACTGTAAATCCTGGAGCAGAAACCACAGAGCAGGAGAGGCTGTCTCACAGGCATGTATTTATGCTGCCCTGTTTCCCTGTGCTATCGATCCAGCGGCTTGCTAAGATACAGTCCTGCCTGCTGCAGTGGTCTAATTCATTTTTAAGCATCATTATTTTTCATGTTGTGGTCTTCCCCTGCTTCGGGTGCCTCTCCCCACCCCTCCCCGGCAATGCCCATTGCTGTCTGTCTCTAGGCGTGAGATGCTCCCACATGTGTGTGTGCATACCAGGGAGATGGAGAGGCAGCTTCAGCTACACTAAGCAATTAAACTCCAGTAGCTCAGGGATGAGCAGGAGGCCGTGATTTTCTTTTCCTTCGCAGTAATTGCCTCTGCAATCAGCTTTGATCACCCGAGAGCAGAAGAGATGAGTGCTGCAAGTTGACATCAGTGGTTTTAATATATCCATTTACATATACAGGAGCAGTGCAGCATACAGCTTTCCACAGCGCCTCTGACCTGAAACCATCGCCGCTCCATAGATACCTCATTTAATTTAATACTCCAGCACGCTGCGGAAGCCGTACGGTGGGGATGGGAGGGGGCATAATCAAGCCCTCTCTCTCCCTCTCTCTCCGTTCATGTCTGTAAAAATGACATGAAAGTAATTGCTTTTGAAAAGCAAAGCAGAAATGGCACAATTGATTCCACTTAAATGAGAGGAGAAGGGGTGGGGGTGGGGGATGCTCGCCCTAAACATGCCACCTCCCTTCCTGCCGCAAGCACATCGCTGCGAGGGGCTGCGCTGGGACACAGGAAAGGTGGGCTTGTCTGCATGGCAGGCGAAGGAGGGGAGCTCGGGCAGGCAGTGCTGCTGTGGGCAGGATGCACCCTGGGTGCCCTCGGACCCGCAGGCAGAGGCTGCTCCGGGGAGCCGTGTGATGGGACGTGCCCTGCTGGCGCCCGAGAGCTGGCAGGCAGCTTCATGGAAATCCTAGAATCACCTGCCTGGCAGCTGGGAGAGAGGATGATGATGGGGAGACATCAGCTCCTCTCCATCTCTAATGTACCTCTCATTATCTCTGATGACAAAGCTTTGTAAACCCATGATTTTGGAATCCATCCAGTCTCCTGGTGCTGCTGGATGCTCACCCTTCTGCCAAGGACCTCCCAGTGCCCCCCTGTGACCTGGCACCACTCAGCCCTCCTGTCAGTGGAAGCCAGGACCTGGCACCATGGGCTGTGCACTGCCTGTGTGTGCTGACACACATCTTTAATGTAGACATTAACATGATTTCGTGTTAATTACATGCAAATTGATTATTAGTATATTTATTGAATGTTGACATCAGGGTGACAGTCTTCAATAAATATGTTTTACTAATCAGTTAGCATTAATTAATATTGAAATCCCCTGTAGGTTTAGCAAGTCGGTGAACATTGGTGAGGCCCCTCTGTTGCTGCCAGTGTTGCTGGATGTTGGCAGTGTTGCTGGCAGCACTCGGCTGTTCCTGTTCTGCAGCACTGCGAGCACAAGCGGGCCCAGGAGGTCCAGGGGCAGTGGCAGTGCTGGAAGGACAGATGGACACATGCCCTGCCCCGAGGGAGAAGCTTCTGGAAAACATTGCTCTTGGGAGAGCCCCCCATGCAGCAGGGCCTGCCTGAGGCCAGGGGGCTGCCAGCTTCAGCCAAGGTGCTAGTGGCCAGGCAGCGCTTGCAAGAAGCTCTGGAGACCCCTTTCTCCAGGACACAGGGCTGCTTGTGGGTATGTCTGAGCAGCAGAAGGAGAATGCTGCTCTCACCTGCATGCAGGACCCTTAGTCCCCTGCCAGCAATGCAGAGGAGTTTGTATGCTGCATTTAAACCACCAAGCAGACCAACTCCTAAGCTGCCTGGGCAGCATTTTCTCTTGCCTCCCCATCCTTAGCAGGGCAGGAGCCATACAGTGCCTGCTGACTGTGCCTTCTCTGCAGCATCCCTGAGGAGTAAATGGCCAAGGCAGCAGGGAGAGCGGCTCCACGCTGGGGTCAACACTTGAGTTTTGTCATGCTGATGCTCCTTGGCTGACAATTACGATTCTTCCCTGCTTCCACCTTGTGCAAACACCTTAGAGCTGGAACACCAAGAAATTAATATGCTGAACCCTTAGAGCTGCCCCTGTTCAGACAGATGGACAGGCTGTGGGGTGCCTGAGACCCTTCTGCTCTGCTCTGAGGACAGCAGACACAGGGAAAATGCCTGAAGAGCTCAGCACGCAGCTGCAACAGGAGCTGGGTGTTTGGTTGCTGGTTAGAATAATTTTGGTCTTGCTCAGCTGCTCTTTGCTTCCCTCACTGCGGGGTCTGACACCCCTCCTGTGAGCAGAGGCAGGTGCCCCAGCCAGCAGGGTTTCTGCTTTCCTGAGCTGGACACGTCTGCCTGCTGCGGGCAAGCATGTCAAATCACACCTACCATATTGGCTTCCTGTCCCCAGAACATCAGATTTTTGCAGCTAATGTGTGGGGGGTGTCTCCTCCTGCCAATCCCCACCCCCAGCAGCATCAGGTCTGTGCTGTTCGGGGTTTTGTTAAGCCGTTTAGTATTAATTGATTTTTTTTTCCATTTTTTCTTTCTTTCCCTGGGCGGGTCAATAGCTGGATGCTCAAGAGCAGAGGATCTATCAACTGCAGACCAAGCAGAGGGAGAGGCAGGCAGACCTGGAGCAGAAATGCAGCCAGAGCATCAGCTCAGCCAGGACCTGGGGGCCAGCCACCAGCTACGGAAGGGAGCTTGGAGCAGGTAGGAGAAGACAGCAGTCCACTCGAGCTCAGCAGCCCAGGCTGAGAAGGGATTTGCTGCATTCATAGCAGTAATAGTAATCTGCTGCTCTTGTTTACATGGCAGCATAAGGAAGGGCTGAAGATGTGACAGTAGAGTCTGTCACCTCCCAGTGAGGAGGGGAGATAGGAGGCAGCAGGGAGATGGCTGCAGCTCTGCTGGCTGTGAATGGGCGGTGGGATTTCAGTGGCTGTGGGGGTGTGATGGCTGTCATGCACAGATGTTGTGGGTGTTGCTCTGCTGCTGACCTTGGAGAGACGAGAAGAGGATGGCCACAAAAACACTGCCTCAGGGCAGAGCTGTCCTGGCTAGTGGTGACATTTACATGCTGTGAGCCAGGAGATTAGGATTGCTCAGACCTGTCAGCCATGCTGCTGTGGACAAAACCCTCAGCTTGCTCCTGTACATCAGGGTGGGAGCACCCTTGCTCCTGCTGCAGGCCTGCTGGGCAGCCTGTGCCACTCTACCCCGTTCTGGGTCTGTTTGCCCCTGCCCTGCCACCCACCCCTGTATTTCTGTATTTCAAAAGCTGTGGAGTCAGATCCCTTGCTCAGTGTGCGCCCCTGTGTGTGAGCCTGGCTTGGGAAAGCACATTGCTCCCTCCTCTGCAGCCATCAGGCTGTCTGCCACATGGCAAACAAGGATGAGGAGAGATGGCTGATCCTGGAAGCCTGGGGAACTCCTGCTGCTGCACACTGCAGCATTACCTGCTTAACCTGTGATCCACTTGCCATTCCCTTCAGCACCACACAAGCCATTTAAAAAAATGTGTCTATTTTAACAACTTGCTAGTGAAATATGCTTGGGGTTCTGGTAGAATTAAATGAAGTACTTTTGACATTGGAGCACCAGGTACCAGCATACTGGATGCTCAGCACCGCTGGTTTGTCTAAAGCAGCTCAGAGGACAGCATTTAAAGTAAGTTGGGTGTCCCCAACTTTATTAGTCAAAGTGGAGACATTTTGTTTCATTTGATGTGGTGATGATAAATATATTCCTATGAATATGTTCATATATCTATATCTATATCTATATCTGTTCTGTATCATATATGTTCATATATCAATGCATACATTGCAATATATATGAACACAATGCACTGATTACATTTATTGAATTTGAAGGAAAGTTATAAGTTGTTGTTCTATTTACTCGCACGTCATCCATTGTTCTGTGTGTGAGGAGTCAGCCCAGAATGCGAGCTGAGCTGTGTGTGGCAAGCCCGCATTCCAGCTGCCCACAGCGAAGGTGGGAGCAGGATGTGTGTGCCTTTGTCTGTGTTTGTGCATGGTGGCAGATGGATGAATGTGGGAGAGGGTCAGCATGTGCCTTTGTTTTGTTCTGCATATGCATATGGATGATTGTGTGTTGATTTCTGCAAAGACAGCATGGCAGGGTAGGAATGATACTCTGCTCCTTCCCTTCCCTTCCCTTCCCTTCCCTTCCCTTCCCTTCCCTTCCCTCTATGGTTAACCTTAAGTCTCTGGCCCAAAAGAAAGGAGTATTCTAAGACAAAGGATAAAACCCAAGGGAAACAAAGTTGAGACCATATTTCTGCTGCATAGAAAGCTTCATTAGCCCTGCTGGCATAGCAGTCATGAGAGAAAAAAGCCCAAAACAGTAGGAGTGATGTGAAGGGACTGACTGCCAGGGGAGGATGTCATGCATTTGCCATTTCTTGATGTCTTCAAGCCCAGCCCAACGCCTGTCTGAAGCTCTCTTAGTCAGAAAAGGTACTGATTTCAGAGTAACAGGGAAATTTTCATGACTGTAGGTACTGGAGGTCAGGCAGCCCAATCCCTTCCTGCTCACCCCGGGAATCTGCAGGAAGGAAATGCAAAGGAGGATCACAAGAACATGATGCTATTTGTGCTCTTGGATAGGAGTTCCCACCAGCACTGATTCATCTGGCTACATCGGCATGCCACAGCATTACTCAGCCCCTCAGGTGGTAGATCTGTCTGGAAGAGGCCAGGTCTGCTGACCTTATATAATTTATTCCTTTTTTCAGATGTTTAGCAGCTGTCCCCAGTCTCCAAGGTATGACACAGCCAGGTGGTCCTAACCTTGCTGAAGATGTGGGGCATTTGCACCATTTTTCTCACAAGATCTCACTGCAGTCTCAGCTGCTGTAGCTCTGTTCCTCCTCAGGAATTAGGCTTGGGGCTGTGCTAGAATAAAATCAGATGAAGATGGAGAGATAGATCTGTGGAAACGTTTGTTTAGTGCCCAGGAGCAGCCCAAAAGGCAAACTGACTGTTAACAATCATGAAGAAAATAATGGAGAGCAGATCACAGTTCTGCCAATGAACAGATTCATAGTGAAAGCTGCACTGTGATTTCTATATGAAGCTCTGTCTGCCTCTCTCAAGAAAAAGATTTGGAAGTGTTTCAGAGAAGACCAACAAGGATGATCAAATACAAAGAATATTTTCCATGTGAGTAAAAAGTGGATAGTCTTTTTAGGCTGGAAAAAAATAGACCGAAGGGGATTATAGTACCAAGTTTAGCAAATAGAGGTTGTCTGCAGTATGATTTCTCATCATCCCTTCAATGTAAGAACCGGCAGCACCCCATAAATTAGCAGGTAATAACAAAAAGAGCAAAAACCAGATATTTTTTGAATATTGTGCTGTGTCAGACTGCTTCACACAGGGTGTGGTGCACCCCCAAAGCTCATATGTATTCGAAAATAAATAAAACATTTTAATGAGAGAAAAATATCCACTAACATTGATGGAATGCAAGAGCCCATTTCTGGTTCCGGAGCCCATGGGCTGCGGGTGGCTGAGGCTGGCAGAGCGTTCCTGGAAGCACTGTGGGACCTGTGGCCTCTGTACCCCAGCATGGATGCACCAACCAGACTCCAGGAACCAATCACCAAATTGCACTGTCTTCTCCTAGAACAAGCCACCAGTGGAGAAACAGAAAACAGGTTTTTTGTAGCTATACTGAAACGTCACAGTTGATTTTAAGCCCCTTAGACAGTATAATACTGACTGCAAGTTCCTGCTGAGGGCTATCGACTCCAGCCTGTGCCAAGCTGCAGGGAACACCCTGTGCCATGGCTGCGTGTGATGGAGCGTGTCTGCACCAACAGCGTGACTGACTCAGATCAGAAACCAGCTTCCTGGGATTTCCCACCAGCATCCTTTCACACTGCCATCCAGCAGCAGAGATCTGTGCATCCATGAGGTGACAGGCACCAGAAGACAGCATCATCTTCAGGCCACAGGGAGGGATTAGTGCAGGCTGGAAGCAGCCCCCGCTGCCCTGTGTGCAGGGTGGGACACACTGCCTGCTGGGCCGTGGGGAAGGAGGGGGCTTGCACTGCAGAGCTGGCTTTCCCAGGTCGTGTGCTTGTAAGCAGACAACGTGGCAAACAAATTGAATGTTGTGGTGTAACTCCTGATCTGGTTCTTTTGAGGCGCCTGCTGTTGTGCTGCTGTGGTGCTAAGGAATGTCTGCATGATGGAATGCAAGGCTATACCTTAAGTACTTCAAATTAATTGAGAGCAGTAGTGTTTCATGCGGTGGGACCACATGGAGGCCACTGACTATTTACAGTGCTGTAGGTAAGAGCTGCAGGCAGCGTGGCTTGTGTGGGCAGGATGGACAGTGTGGGCAGTGGAGACCGGGCACCAGAGCAGCAGCTGACAAAGGGCAGCTGTGTGCTGCTGTCCTGTTATTACTTCAGGCAGCATCTCTGCTTCGTCACACACTTCCTATTCTGCGACACACCGCTCTCAGCAGTGATTCAGCAGTCATAGATTCTCCATCTTTTTATCAAGGTTAATTCCCCATCACCATTATTTTTGCATACCTTCTACTGCAAGAATGAAGAGGCCAATACTGAGCAGCAGTGAATGCTCAACCAGCATAGTAACCAGCCAAATTCCATGTTAGCAGCATGGTTTAAATACCCAGCCTGCTTCTATGTGGTGATCAATAACACAGTGGAAGGGAGTGGAAGGGGCCCCTGCTCCAGTTGGGTAATGCTCCCCTATTTCTGGAGTTTGTAAGCACAATATCAAAATTACAAAGCACAACACTTTCCATTTCTTGCTATCATTTTGAATTAAAGACTTTCTATTGAAGACACTCACTTCAAAAACCAGCCAGGCACTTTCTAATATCAAGCAAAATGCCTGAAGAATAAATTGCTCCTATCAGAAATAAAGCATTTTAGTTCTGCCAGAAGCAGAGAGATCTGTGTTTGTAAGTCCCTCCAAAGGCAACTCCATCTTTCCTGTTTTCCTCTCATTTTCTTTTGATGCACGAAGCCTGCACATTGCAGTGCTGTGATTGGATTCAGCTTTGGAGCAGTGTAATTGTAAATATTCATTGGAATCCAAGCTAGTTTTCCCAAGTCTCTCTTAAAAGCTTTGCAGTTATACAAACAGCCATGGCTCTGCATTAGCCTCACAGCCTGGGGGCTGCCTATTCCTCCCCAGCCCCAAAGTCTGCTCTGTCAGAGGCTGCATGGAGAGAAATCAGCCTTGCCAACCATTTTAATCAATGCTCTATTATTTTCTTTATTCCGTCTTTAATGACTGTGCTGTAGAGCTGGCTCTCAGATACAGGTATCCCGTGGGGCTCCTCACTGGTGTCTACAAAAATAACATAGCTCACCTTGGCTCACAGTTGCCCTGAGTGTCCTGGCCATGTATTTCAGTCCCTGTCTCTCTGCTGATGTTGACAGGGTGTCTGTGAATGGCTCTGAGGCCTGGTATGTGGTATACAGGACATGGTACACGTGGTACAGGGTGTTATGCCTGTGACCATTCCTCCCTCCTCTGTGAATGCTCTCCTACTGTGGGGCAAGGCAGAGGCAGCAGACTGCTACAGCCCCTGAGGAGCTGAGAAAAGCTCTGTCCATCAGCCAGAGCCTGCCCTTGCCCTGCACAGCCAAACTGCATGCTCCAAGCAGATCGTGCTCTCCAGGTGGTCTCTGACTGCAGCCATGTCCTGCACAGCTCATTTGCAGAGCAGCACATGTAAGAAACTGCACACAGCTATTCTGCTGAGAAGGGAAATTGAATCCAAAAGTTCTGATAGCATATCTACACTCCTATCTCTGCCTCATCCACTCATGTGTTCCCCACCATGGGCGGGACTCTGGCCAAAGCCTGTGGCGCAGCAGAACATGTAATGCAGATGGTGGGATTGGAGCCTTCATCACCCAGTGACCTCCTCCAGGCTCTGCTTGCTCCTTTCAGCATGTGTTACAGCCTCCTGGCACCGGGCAGGCTGGCAGTACAAGGGAAAACACCG